TATCCCAACTGTGCTGTTGCCAAATTTTGTGCAGTTCACTTGTCATGCGTGATATAGAAATGTAGAATGTACAAAAAAATACCGTATTTCCACAATGAGAGCAAGGAAAGTTATTCTTCTTGTACCAGGAAAATGTGTTTGTTTTTCCAAAACATATTGTCTGAACAATACGGTTGGAGAGAGAGGAAAAGAAAACACTTTTCCACAACTATTTATGAAACGTACAAACCAAGGAATTCATTATTTCTTACCTGAATGTAACCTTATGTGACAGAAGGCTTTAAGTTTAAGGTATAGCCATCCCTGATTTTGAGCTTCTAATCAGAGTGATGGAAACTAGTTAGCAGCATTCACCGCCTAAACTGCTACTATTAACAACATAGCGGGTTTTTGAGTATCACGGATAAAATCCCATGTGTGTTGAACGGCATATAGCAACTCTAACCTTGGACCTTGAGGTTTTAGTCCAGAACAGAAAACAACGTTAACAACAATACAAACACTATTTTTCGAAGTTCAAAATTAGAAGTTGTGCTGACAAAAACAAGGTTTAACTATACTGTACAGCTGTAAATCTAAAGAGGTTGGATAGTCATCGTTAGAAGACATTTGATAATTTCAATATCTTTATAACGTTTACTGGCTCATTAAAACTACCACACATACCAAACAGTTGTCTTACAAGGTAATATAGTTTACAAGAATTTATCTTTAAAAAACATCTTGTAGTTTTAATAATGCTGTTATACATACATACATATATATATACATCCATACTTTACCAAATAATTCTGTTATACATATATATATATATCCATACTTTACCAAATAATGCTATTATACATATATATATATATACATCCATACTTTACCAAATAATGCTGTTATACATATATATACATTTGTGATTGTACTTTTAATTCTTGTTTCATTAATTTCTGTAGAAGTATGTCTACTTCATTTTAAAATTCATAATTTTTAATACTCCTGTGTATAATTTTGTATTACCAATGAAGCTCATATTCAAGTCCTGAAATAAATTCAATTTTAAGTCTTTTTCACTGTACACCTAAAAATATGTTTTTGACATCAAATTATATATTAATTCATTTACCAGGTGATACCGAACTCGTTCTCTCTAAAGGTTATCAGGATATCATATAGTATTGTTGGGACCAGTTGTCGTCTCCATAGGTGGCGACAGTGGTATGCATAACCAAAATGGCCACCGTATATGAAGGAATTTACTGATTTGAATCATTCGAATTTTAAAATTGTGTGTTGTTTACAATGGAATATACTAACAACTATAAGTGAAAATCATCCGTACTGAAAAAAAATAATCTTTCAAAACAACAAAGCCCACCTCTCTCTCCTCAAAATTAAATACTACTTGATTGGTAGTGTTGATATAGAAGAAAGGAGATTAGGTAACCTGTGGATATAGAAAAAAGGAGATTAGGTAACCTGTGGATATGGAAGGAAGGACAATAGGTCACCTGTGGATATAGAAGGAAGGACAATAGGTAACCTTTGGATATAACAGGAAGGACATTAAATGACCTGTGGATATAGAAGTAAGAAGCATTACACAACCTGTAAATATAGAAGGAAGGACTATAGGTAACTTGTGGATATAGAAGGAAGGACTATAGGTAACTTGTGGATATGGAAGGCAGGACATTAGGTGACATGCGGATACAGAAGGAAGGACAATAGGTAACTTGTGTATATAGAAGAAAGACATTAGGTAACTTGTGAATATAGAAGGAAGAACATTACATAACCTGTGGATATAGAAGGAAGAACAATAGGTAACATGTGGATATAGAAAGAAGGACATTAGGAAAATTTCTTAGAAACTGACACTGGCAAGTGACTCAACCTCACGTGACTTTACGGACTTGCGTAACTTCGGAAAAACTAGTACCTTTTAGTATTATAATAATGTAGTAAACCTGTTTTATATACCCATGAATATTACGTTATGCACTTCCTTCTATATCCACAGGTCATGTAAAGTTCTTCCTTCTATATCCACAGGTCATGTAATGTTCTTCCTTCTGTATCCGCGTGTCACCTAATATCCTGCCTTCTATATCCACAGGTTACCTATTGTCCTTCCTTTTATATCCGCTGGTCACCTAATGTCCTTCCTTCTATATGCACAGGTTTCCTGTTGTCCATCTTTCTATATCCAAAGGTTAAGTAATGGTCTTCCATCTATATTCACAGGTTACCTAATGTCTTTCCTTCCATATCCACGGGTTACCTAATGTCCTTCCTTCTGTATCCGCAGGTCATCTAATGTTCTGCCTTCTATATCCACAAGTTACCTTTTGTCCTTCCTTCTATATCCACAGGTTATGTAATGTTCTTCCTTCTATATTCACAAGTTACCTATTGTCCTTCCTTCTATATACACAAGTTACCTATTGTCCTTCCTTCTGTATCCTCATGTCACCTAATGTCCTGCCTTCTATATCCAAAAGTTACCTATAGTCCTTCCTTCTATATCCAAAAGTTACCTATAGTCCTTCCTTCTATATCCACAAGTTACCTATAGTCCTTCCGTCTATATTCACAAGTTAAAAGACTCAAATAAACAGGTTCAGTACAAAAGTTAGGCAACTCCGTAAAGTCACGTGAGGTTGAATCACTTTCAATGTCACGTGTTGAAAAGTTTTATATAAAAGTGTCCACTGTTAGTTACGCCTTATTCTGTCTCCATCAGTTCTAGAGTAACGGACAAGAAAGATGTATCAAAAATAATGTTGTTCCTTCTGGTGACGTCACTTTGTAGCTTCTATGTAGCCACAGGTATTGATGTTTTTTGTTACTTGTTCTGTAAGAGTTGATTCCGAATAACATAAGAAAATCCACTTGTTTTGGTCTTACACTATTTTTTTTTATTTTATAAATTCGTTAAGTAACTTCAACTTACAAATCTAGGATCTTGATGTCAAGTTATATGACATAAACATATTTCATATCGAAGAATTACCCTGAAAGACAACTGTGCTTTAGTATACCCTAACTATTTAAGTTAGGGTTTTAAAAAAACAACTCATAAACTCACTGTTATATTGCTGTATTTTTATAAAATTGAAATAAAACTGGTCTAGTACAGTATTACAAATGCAGTAGGTATTAGTTTTTTCCGGTTTAGAAAGTCTAATGAGTGCAAATTTCAACAGATATGTGGTTAAAAGTTTGAAAACCCGATGAATTGTCAAAATATCTATATATAAAATAAATCGGCATAATAATCCACAAAAGATCAAACAATTAACAGCACATAAAAAACGGAATTATTTCCAGTGGTCATGCTTGGCATTCTCAACTGGTGGACTAAATCTGTTCTCTGGTCAATATGTATGGTCACTTCTGACTATATGTTAGTATCATAAACTTTAGAAAGCTAAACATTTGGCATAGAAACTGTTTTATGCTACTACAAACATTTCTCAAGTTCCATAAGTTTATACTGAACAACAAAATAAGAAACATTATTTACAAACCTGAACAAGTAATCAAGCAGTCTGCTACCGTGTTATATCGGTTTCCATTCCCGCCACAACCTCCATAAATAAATCTCTTACATTGGCGGCTGTCTGGATCGTGGTAATAACTGGGGATATAAGCTTCACAAGGTCCTGTAACAGGTTGAGTCTTGCAGTCTTTATCCTGAGCTGTGAAGAAATGAACAGTCATTGTCACTTGGAAACTATATACAATAAGTTCAAGAAACGTTAGCAAGCTAAGCCTAGCATCAATTAGGGAAATTTACAGTTGTTTTTCTGTACAATTTTATGAAACCAGACCAACTTCAGCCTGAACGTACATTTGAACTAATTAATAAGATTTTATTGCAGACTTGAAATCAGTTTTTATTTTCCAGTATTAGAAATCGAGAATAATCCATAAACAAGACGTCATGTTGTATTATCAATCCACTGAACACGAACATGTTTAGATATATCTGACAAGGACATGTGATAACATAAACTGTCAGATTCTTCTCGTGCATGATCGTCCGCTTTTCCAAAAATCTTCAACTTTATAAAATCCTGAAAAAAATAAGGATTTATATATTATTGAGATGACAGCTTTGAATCTAGAGTTGTTTGGTCTGATGTAAGTATTATAAATATACAGTAAATACATGTAGTACACATGGAACGTTATAATATGTATTCTACTGCATATATTTATCGGGAAATGTAACGTTGATCACAAGAAACATTGATTAGAAACATCTAAAAACAGCCAAGCAAGGTAAATGTCTTTTGTATGGAAAAAAAATCGGTCGTAGTAATATGTGGAGAAAAGACCGTTACATGTCCTGGGTCATTTGGAGACGTGCAGTCGTGACCTGTGAACATATGATGCAGTCACTGTCACTTGAAAACTTATACATTAAGTGTATTTTACAGAACGTGTGTGTGTGTGAGGAGAGGGGGGGAGTTCTCGTTAAATTTGAATTTAACTAGCTTGCTGTTAATTCTCAACATTCACAATTAGAATACTGTACTCGGAGGTTAGTTTTATTTTTAAGCTATGATGAGCATTAATTATGTGATTATAATTAGAGTTTTGAAGTACTACACATAACCTATGGGTTATTGGATAACTATGTCAGGTAAGTGTTTGAAATGACCCAATAAACTTAGCTCATGCTCTACCTGGTGGTTAATTCACATCCAGAATTTCCACCACAAGAGAACAGCACTAATCATACGAGTATAGATATAGAATTTAGTCGGTGTTAACAAATAATCTTAAGTTAGAGGTAGGCTTAAAAGTTAAAAACCCTAATTTCGATATCGGCGATTGGAGCAATGTAGATAGTTCATTGTGTAACATTGTGTACGAATTAAAAAACCAAATCGTTTAATCTGATTGGTCCTGCCATCTTCTACTGATACTTAACTAGAACAATTACTGTGATTCGGGAATTTATATTGAACGTAGAAAACGAAACGAAGAATACGGAATCTGTATGTTATAAGTTTTTGTGAATTGTAATTCAGTGATTATTGTTAAAGAAATATTATTGACAAGCAGATACTAAATAATACAGTGAAAATCTATGAATTGTAATCTTTGTTATTACCTACATGACAAGAGAGGCTTAACAAATAGAAAAGTTTCACAGAAAAAGTAAAAACGCTTAGTTTTGTTTCATAAGCCACCAACTCTTGGAGAGAAAGAAATCGCCTGTAAACGATATAATATCTAATAGAATTCCTCTTGTATTCCTGTTGACAAAATTATTCTTGAAGATAACGGAGATGAAAGAAATGAAGAAGAAGAGAAAGTTTCACCTAACAATATGTTTGACCATGTTACAGTCTACTTGTTAAACTGATTCTTACACTTTACTTATTGGCCATTTTATAGTCGGATAGTGCTAAACCTAAGCTTGTTCTGTAGATGATGTTGTGGCCATTATCTATCTCACAGATAGTATTGAACCTAAGCTTGTTCTGTAGAAGATGTTGTGGCCATTATCTATCTCACAGATAGTATTGAACCTAAGCTTGTTCTGTAGAAGATGTTGTGGCCATTATCTATCTCACAGATAGTATTGAACCTAAGCTTGTTCTGTAGAAGATGTTGTGGCCGTTATCTATCTCACAGATAGTGCTAAACCTAAGCTTGTTCTGTAGAAGATGTTGTGGGCATTATCTATCTCACAGATAGTGCTAAATCTAAGCTTATTCTGTAGAAGATGTAGGAATTGTTTTCCATTTTTATGAATTCACTTGGTATTTAGGAGAACGATCACGAGACAATTTTTTATCTAATTTCTTCAAGTTCTTGCTTTTTAATGTTACGTTTTGTTTTAGAGCAAAACCACATTTGAATATCTGCTTTGTTCACCTCCAGGAACAGAACTCAGGATGTTAGCGTTCAGTGAACTTACCGTTGTCTCAAAGCAGTAAATAAAAAAGAAAATAATTAAAGAGAGATTTATAAAAATCGAACAAATAATTGATACCTTTTCTCTCTGTGTGTTTACTCATCTTCTCTTCAACATTCAAATTATTTTTTATGTTCTTTGACACTCTGTTTTATATCTTGTCTTTTGACCCAGTTGAACCTACTTGTCCAAACTGATCGGGTTTTATCGTTATTTGCTTTTCCTGGTCTTTATTTTCCAACCTTTTTGTGCCTACGTTTATTTTTACCATCATGAACCCATGTTACACTGAATACGATTTCTATACCACAAAACGTAACCCACATTACCTTGGTTGGTGTTCCTTTTAAGAGTTTTATATTAGACACAGAACTACAGTATTGGTTGTCTGTACTGTACCCCCAATGGGGATCGAATCTTAAATTTTAGCATTAAAAACCTTCAAATTTACCGCTTATCCACAAAGATTGTAAGGAGCCATGCTTGAGAG